ACACAAAAGAACAAGTGCCTTTGTTGTATGCTACTCTGAGAAGAGAAATTATCAAAATATTGTCACTGGAGCAAAATGCAAGACAGAATCTTCCTTGAAAACACACACAGAAAATGAGAAAAATCCTTCCAATTATCATCAGATAATTTTTTTCAGGCAAAACTGAAAAAAAAAAAAATATACTTAAACAACAGTTTTAGTACACGCTAAGTTTGGGAACCACAGAAGGTAGCTACCACTGCTTCCTTTTCCACCTTGTTCTGTAGTCTCTCTCAAGAGACAGGGCCAAACCACAGCCAGAGACAGGAGCCGTGCCAGCTGCTGCCAGTGCTTCAATGGATATTGGAAAAGCTAGTGAGACAAGGATAATTAAGGGCATGTGCAAGCTCTATAGGAACGCTAGCATGGCTATCAGCAGTAACAACCAGAAGAGGCTCAAGCTGAGCCTTGAAAAGCTCAAATTACTGCTAATAAATCAAAACGACCTTGGTTCAAACAGTCTGGAAAAACAGAGACCATCTCTTAATAGTAGTAATTTCTTCTGTTTCCCATGTCCAGAATTTACTGGCCAATTCCAACAAAGCCAAGTAAGTCTTGACTGATGTTAGGCCAGAGACTAGCCAAGATTTATTCACAATAGATCAGCCATTAAAACGAACAATTTTCAAATTACAATAATCTAATTTTATAGATTCAGTGTCTAATGGACCAACAGCAAGATAGGCAAAATTCCCAGACTGCTAAGCGTATCCTCTTAACCAGTCTCATCCATCAGGGCTGCTCAACAACATTAATGTGGATGTCTCAAGAGAATTATTTCCATCACATATCAAGCACAAACTGAAAAGCCACAACTTTTCACAGGCATTACTACTTTTTTTTATTCCTTAAATGTCAATCAGTTGACATTCCTTTTAATAGGATGGGTCAAAAATAATGTGTATGTTTTAAGTTCAGCATTCTGAAATAAAATTTTGTGGAACAAAGCCAAGAGTTTACAGCACTCTCTTAAGTGAAAAGTTGCCTCTTAGCAGACATGGTTCTATTGTAAAAAAATAAAATAAAAAGTCTAATTTCAATCAGTCAACTTCTCTACATATAATTCACAGCGTGAAAGTTTTATGGGACAGTGTAAATAAGTACAAACAGCCTTATTTCGTCTAAACCAGTGCAGTTTTCAGACAGTAGAGTTAAGGCTTCAGAATTGAAAAGAGAATCTGAATTTGTCTGCCTGATAAATTTTACAGACCTTCCCCGTCTCTTTATTTGAAATACACTGTTTGTGTCAGTAGAAGACACAGTAATTTTTACAGTGGTGCTTGGTAATTAACCTGTTAATTATGTTTATTTGCTCTAATATTAGCCCTTCATTATTAGGAAAGGGTTGTAAATTCTTTTAATTTACCTATTCATATTTTCAGATTACAGCATGCAAAGCAGGCTTAAAAAGAATAAATTCTGTATCTTTATGTCAAAAGACAAAAAAATTCATTTCAATAATTTCTTAGTCACATCTCAAATATTCAAGCTTCTGTTGTATACTCAATAGTATTGAATATCAAGTTCCTCTCCCTGTGTAACAAACAAAGGGGGAAAGGGTTAGCAGCCTCCAACAATCTGGCTCCACATTGTGGCAGTCACAAATGACCTCTAAGGCAAGATGCTTTTCAGTTCTCAGTCATAGACTGAGTTTTCCAGCAAATAGCCCAAAGACTACAAATCACAATCCATAATTTTACTTTCAAACAGATTTTCATTTCTTAAAAAAGTGCCCTTTTAGATGGGCAGCATCAATCCCTCCAGCAATCAGAGAAGACATGCAAAAAAGCCTGCTTTTCCACTCCCTGACTTGTCTTTGTTGTAAAGACCCCAACAGAAATAATTACATCAATAAAGAGTAAGGTCATTTTGTGAACATGTGCAGTAAATATTCCTCCTGTAATAAGAGTTTATGGAATGTTTTACAGAGGAGGAACTTCACGTTGAACTACAATAAGTAAATCAGAAAGGCCCTATTTGTATTCATGGACAGTAAAGTCACAACAACAAAAAAAAAAAGATGTAAGCTTTACTGACAAATGCCACATACAACATACCTCAATGACTCCTCCCTCAGGCTCTAAAAACCTCTAGACTATAAAAATGTCTTCCTCTTACTTTTTCTTTCTCTCTCTTAAAAATTCACACTATTTTTGGACACAAGCCCCAAACATTTCTAGCCAAAGAACTATTTCAGGTGCATTTTCCTTTAAAAAAAAAACACCAAATGAAATTTTCTGAAGACAAAAGTCTTTTACAAACTGTCAGTGAAGTTCTTCTCAAATCCACAGCATCATTTCCCACCAATCTTCCTCAAAAAATTCAGTAATTTAAAACCAAAAGAGAATTCCAGGATCATATATGTAAACCTGTATTTGACAAACGTTTCATCAACGACAACAACAAAAAAAAGAGGACCATCTATTACCATTCTGTCTCAGCACATCCTGCAAATGTAAGCACCTCTTGCTGAATTTCAGTGAAAATACTCACACAGCAGAAATATAAGAATTCAGTAACTCTTGTCTTATTAAAAGTGCTTACCCCAAGTATTAAATATATGCCATTTATAGCAACTGATTTGCAGCACTTAAGTCTGCAATATATTTAACACATAAAGGACTCCAGTTTCATCATGTAGAGAAGGATTTAATGTTAGCAGGTAGCAGCTGCCAGAACTTGGATACCGTTATTAGAAATGGTTTAGGCAGTTTATATACACAGCACTTATATGCCTTCTGGTTCAGGCATTAATAGCTAGATCATACACTTGAAACACTCTGTGAAAGGCACCTTAAAATAGAGATGGGGTCTGAGATCACTTTTATCCCTGCAAATGCAAAGCAGTTTAATTGACTCTTACGTTTAAAGTCTGAATATGCTGAATTTAGTCCCAGGCTTCTCTAACACAGTCCAGGAGAGAACAAGACTGACACATGTGAACCAAGAAAAAAACTGAGCAAAGCCAAATATACCTTGGAAAGGCAGTTTGCTATAACCCATACAAAGGGACAAAACCAGTCAATCTCACACATGGAAAAAAATAATATACTGGGTCTCCAAAGCACTGTACAAGACTGCTACTCTGAATTTTTTTCCCTTTGAAGAATACAAAGTGAAGAAGGTGAAGTCCTTCCTTGGTTAGGCCTATGCAGCTGCCCAGAACAAAATGGGAGCCCTTAATTGATACAACTAAGAGGAAAACATGGTGCAGTAGTTTCTGCATGTGCTGGGGTCGCGTGCAGTACACTGAAGTCAGTGAGCAGAAAAACTTTTCCCTCATCTGACCTAGTTCTGTCAAAGATTCACACATAGAGATGGTGGGTGTAGAGGTGACATATGAAGTATCTTTAAAAATTTTGGAAGGCACAGTAAAGAACACCTAATACCTTGATGGGGAAAGGAAAGCTGGCTGAACACTAGAAGATTTAGAGAAGATATTAGAAGGCTCCTCAGACCTCTGGACATACAAGGAAGTGAACAAAACCAAACCTAAAAACAATCCTGGAAAAAAGTGCCAAAAGGACGGTTGGTTTCAGGACAAAGTTACCTGATGCTGCAAGTATATCCTATTTAAATGGAGCTACAGATTTAAAGAATTTTTCCTTTTTTTTTTTTTCCTTAAGCATCAGGTAAAAAATACTATAAAAACATATTACAATTGGGAAAATATAATCAAACTTTCTGGATTCTGAATTAGTGTTGTCTGCAGCGTGACAGGTGCAGCATAAAAAGGCACTGTCCTGAAAGAATTTCCACACAAAATCAACAAGAATAGCAGAAGTAAGGATCAAAGTCTCAAAGAAACATTAATTTTTTTGTTCAAATATTCTAAAACACAAATCTCAGTTATCTCTTTCTTGATGTACACACAACTAATGGTAGCTGTGTAAATTCTGCACAAACAGGGGAACAGGTTGCCCAGAAAGGCTGTGAAGTCCATCCCTAGAGCCACACAAAGCCTGACTGTGCACGTTCCTGAGCAATCTGCCGTAGCTGACTCTGTTCTGAGCAGGGTCATGGACTGCAGAATGCTCAGAGGCCCCCTTCCCACTCCAGCAATTCCCTGATCAGATTAGAATGGATTTCTGAGGAGTTATTTAACAATGACCGTTTTTCCACAAAGTGCATCAGAGTGGGTACTTTATATAAAAGCTACAGTCTTGAAAAGAACCTGAACAGAATATAACTGGGAATGAAACCTACAAATGATTACTAAATGAGCTTTTTGGTGAACAGAAGAGGACTTTGGAAAATATCATTCTAGGAAAAGCACTGGTCATCACTAATGAACAGATTCATGGAGGAAGCTGACAGTGAAGAGCAGCAAAATGAGATTCACGGTCTGGAAATAAAAGGCAAAAAAACCCCTAAGCACCTACTAAAACTAAAGTTAACAGACACAGCCATGGGCAGGTGTCTGAGGCAAATCTTAATCCAACACTATCAGCACTCCAGCCTTTCTGATCATACCACTAATTTTTTTCACAGTTTGTAGGCAAGCCAGTATGTCTATTAGGAGAGTGCAACAAACAGGAACATGGAAGAGCTCCCTCTACATAAAAGGGACAGTAGTCTTAGGTCAGAAGTGATCAGTGACCTTTATGGAGAAAGCAAGAAACGCTCTTGATGAAAAGACATTAAAGAATTGGGAACTATGTGAGTCACCTCAGTACTCAATTACTGAAACTTAATGGGTTTGACCCAGGCTTACAAAAAAAATTTAACCAACACAAGGGTCTTGCTCAAAGCATACCACCAAAAACAACTTCAAAAAGTGTGCTTTTTTCCCCTCAAACTAACCTCCAAAACCAGAAATTCAAAATGAGAAACCATTTCTTTCTCTATTACCTACTCTTCCCAATTACACCACAGAACTATTTTAATTACTTCATGCCCTTACATAATAAACATATATTCTTGTCCACCCCAAAAGAGAAGTTTTGTTTGTTACCTCTTACCGACAGTTATTTTGACAGTTCTTTTCTGAGAGTCCATCCTCATCTTCTCCCATAATATCCACTGCCGAAAATATCAGTGCAACCAGAATTGCAAAGCAGCATACCAGTGCAAAGATCACAATGCATCTTTGCTGTGACTGAAAGAGATTAAGATTAAAAGAAGTTTTAATGGCATGAGCACATTCGAGTCAATGACTTGAGATTCTAAAAGTTTTACGTAAGATCTAGAACTCTTTGAAGATTTTACCACCATAGCTGTCAACATGAAACACACCTCAGGATGAAAACACGCTCAAAATTGTCCTTCAAGTATCCCCTTGAGATGTATTTTAAATCCCTCAGATGCTGTTAAATAATTTATGTCACAAATAATATTCATAACTTAAACTGCTTTCTGTTTGTACCACAAGGAAAGCATTATGCATTAAAATAATGACTCCTACATTAACTACGTATTTTCTGATTGCACCTCACAGGTAAAGTACACACTTGGGACAGCGCTCAAAATTTTTGCTATGTTTGGCTGAAATAAAACATGCCATTGCAAGAAGACTGAAGAGCAAAGTCTTTTTTTTTTTTCTTATTGCTACAAAAAGTAACAGACATTGTCGCTATGATTGTCACAGCAACTCAGACACTTAAACAAGCCCTTGCCCCACAGTATCTATAATATAAGGAAAACAAATCCACAGATGATAGATGGGATTCAAGGAAATAATGTAAGCCTGTTGCTCAGTATGACAGGTAATGACCTCCACATCTCAGACTAAATATTAAAACATAGCATAGCACTACCTTACAAAATCTTGCAGTAATAAATCAGAGACACCTAGCAGAGCCCTAGATAAATGTGAAACCTCCTAAAGGCAGTCTTCTGACATGCAATTTACATAGTTTCAAAAACAAAGTATATTGTATTTTGAAACCAAATGTTCAAAAAAACACATTGTACATTTTTCCACTGAAGTAAATTTGCACAAAACCACACACATATAAAAAAACATAAATGTCTAACTCCTGTTGCCATAGTTATTTTCTTAATTTTCATTATTGCCCTGTAATTAAAATGTCACATAAAGAAAAAAGCTTCACAAAGGAATGGGAAAGTGGGAAAGTGCACAGGAAAGCAGGAAAAGTGTACGGGAAAGGAAGCAATGTTATGCTTGCAGCTGATAACAAACCTCATATTATTTCCATTGTTCCTCACATTTCGTTTAAGAGACAATAAGTTCCAGAGTAAAAGAATATTTTCGCATACAGAGACTTCCAAAACTTTCCAACTAGTGCACAATCCAGAAGAAACAAGCTTATGCATTTTAGAACAAGTAAGATACAAACATTTTATTTCAGTGTGTGAAAATCTAAAACACAGCAAATAACTTCTTCAGACAAACTGGAAAAAAATTGTCTGAAATTTAGTGACAAAGGTACCTTCTTTAACAGTCACACCAAGTGTGTTGTATAAGTTATATGAGTATTTTAAATACAATATATACTAGACACTTTTATACAATTCAAATACATTTATACATTTCAAAAACAAGTATGTGTTTCTAAAATATTAACTAAAATCTTACAAGAATGCAGCATAAGAAAATGTTCTTCAACCATAAAATTGCCTACTTCTGAAATATATAAAATTTGGAACTTTTTTTTTCTGCTGCTAGGCAACATATGAAAATAATTAGAAATTACTGCATCTGCATGTCCAGAATTAAGGTTGCAGTCAGATGCACAATAGAACTTAAGAGAAAAATGTTAAACATTGTCATTGCCTCATATTACTGGCAAGAAAAACTAAGAAGTGCCAAAAAAAAAGAGGTATTCAGATTTGGGACACTGCTTTATGCCATTTCTTCATCAGGATGTTTCACGCTCCTGTTAAGATGACCATTGCCTCATACAGTTTTTTACAGTCTTGCAAGTGCACTTGCAGAAATTCGTTGATGCATGTTCCTCCATGCACTGAGCACATCACCATGGCAGCAAGGCAGCAAAGCTACTCCCATAGCCAGCAAGCCAAACAGAGCTGGGGCTCATTCTCTAGCCCCTAAGAGCAGGGGATGTGACCCAGTATGGCTTGTAACTGTAAGGTTCTTCTTCCTCCCAAACATGGATAACTGCAGCCATTCTACTCCATGAGACTGGTTCACAGTCCATACTTTGGGTAAATTCATAGCACAAGCACCCCAGCTACCACACAGTATGAATGACTTCATGCCATTGTTCCAGGAAATAACTTCCATCTTATTGTGTTGCCATGCAAACAGCACAACAACTACAGAGAGTGACAAGGCCACTGGACCACGTTAGCCTTGAAGGCTGGGCCAGCACACATGGAGACAGCAAGAGATGCTCCACTACCAGGTGGCCACAGTACCTCTGTAAAACCTGTCATAAGTCATAAACAGCTCTAGAAACCTTTTAACCTGCCTAAAGCCCAAAATCCATAGAAATACCTACAGTGTACCAAAAATTATATGGTATCACAAGAAGGTGGGATGCACACACACACACACACACACACACAGGGACATATAGCTGCAACAGATTCCTCAAGTTCAATACCAGGAAATTTTATGGCAGCAATTTCTACATGGTCACTTTAAAGGAATATGGAAAAGGAAGGTCAAAATAATTCTGAATGGATCTTCCCAAACTAGCATTAATTCCTACTCCACATAATTTTGGGGAACAAATTCAAGGTTTCTAGACTTCTGTCTTCTTGTTGTAGTTGAAAATTGTATAAAGGAAAATTCCCTGTTCTTTCAGTTCTGCTTGTCTACAGCTTGCCAAGCTCTGCAGTTTGATGACTGCTGCTCATTGGAAAAGTTTTAGTACCCCAAGTAAGACCATGGCTATTCTACCAGCACTAAAATAAAGACAGAACCACACAAACCTATTTTACTGCTCTTATTTTCACAGATCCTTTATATTATGCATTTGTCTTTGAAAACTATAATGCATTAATTACTTCACTTTTTCTTAAGTACCAGCTTAACCATATGGTTACAAATAGCATAGGGAATCTTTTAAATCCACATAGAAAAAACCTAGCGACAACAGTAGTTTTTTTTTCAAACTAAGGATAGCACAAAATATTAAATGAAGTAAAGCAAAAATTTGAAGTTTGTGATCCTCCTAACTCGACGTTTTCAGCCACGGGTCTGAATGGGCAGGTAAAGACCACTGAAAAAAATTTATGCAGATAGTAAGGAGGATTTCCAAGAGTTTTATAGTTCATCCTGAAATTATTCCTGCTGAGTGGTGGTTTTTTAATTGCTTTTAAACCTATATACACATGAGAAATTAATATTTGGAAATTGCTTATTATAATTTTTATTAGAAAGGAAAGAATTAAAAAATAGCTACTTGCACCAAACAAGTGTTCTGAGCCTACCTTTTGAGAAGAGTAATAAATCTTTATTTTCACCCACTTTGCCACACTGCTGGCAATTTTCAAATAAGCTTTCTCTAACTAAAACAGATTATAACAGACTACATAATTGTTCCCTTATACCACCTATGCATGCCTGTGTGTATATGTATGTGCAAGTAATAGCAGGCTTCATGAAAGAATGCAAAATAAAAGAGCTCACATCACTGACAGACCATAAGGAATCGGCTAGATTGCTCTTCAGACTCCTGCATCTGTGGGTTTGGGCAGACTGTTTGCACGATGCTATGTTGTTGCATACCTACTCAGCAATCAAGATCCCTCTTAGCTTATCAGACCTATCCTCCTATTTCCTTCAGTAAATGCCTAAACTCCTCAGTGTTCAAACTTGTAGTCTTCAACATTTAATTACAGAATACAGGGTTGTGAGGGATCTATAAAACTTATGCAATCCATCTATCCATACATATGATTAATTTATACAAATGTTAGTTCTAACAGATGTTTATTTGACCTGTCCCTAAACATCTCCAGTTGAAAGAGATCTTAGAGTCTCTTCAGGCAACTCCATCCCACATCTAAGCACCATATTGATGCCTAACATAAGTCTCTTACACTGTAACGTTTCTTTTTTTTCCTTCCTATACTCACTAAAAACAGCAAACAGAGCATTTCACTCTCTCTTTCACATATTTAAAGCCTGGTATAGATGCTAAGAGGCCTAGGCCCAGAGCACCTATTGGCTTGACTGTACCGATGTGCAAGCCCAGAAATTCTGTTGCACAACAGAAAGATTTGTTCAGAGCTTATGGAAGATTGGGAAAGAATCTCCTGCAGTAAGAAGGATTATCAAATATTGGAAGCAAAATGTGTCTCTTTCACCTGACTCATCTAGCTTAAATAATACTTAGATTAAAACAAATCCACCAAAACACTGCACTTACTAAAACAAAGCATGGGGATTTTTCATGTGGTTATATCTCTAGGCAGAGAGTGAGAAAAAGAGCAAAAGCTGCACAATGGGTATGCAGTACAGTACTATTCAGACTAAAGTTTAGTCTGAGAAGGACCCTAACTGTTTATTATTAAGACAAAGGATAGTCTATGTCAATTAAGGTTACATCAGAGCCTGTGATAGCCAAGTAGAATTGAAAATGAGAGCAAGAAAAGGGTCTCCATCTTTACTGCACTCCCCTTGCTCAAAAGCTGTTAAGCTGCCTCAATGGCCCTTAAAGCTTTCAGTTTCTTCACAAACAATAGGTATTTCTGTGACATACTACATTAAATCAGAAATTTATTCTTCCTCCATTACAGTATAAAAATGTCCTTCTCTCCTTGAAACAAGAATCATGAATTTGCAATGCTGCATCTTCTGAAAAACTGAGCATATAACAACAAAACATGTCATGGCTTTGAACTTATGCTTCATTTTTATAACTGTTTAAAGACTAAAGAACATAATACTTATGCACCACACTAATAAAGAGTTTATAACTGCTTATCAGAACCAAAGAGGCTCTAAGAGGCAGGTTTTCACATCTTCTGTCGTATCAGTAGTCTGGTCTTTCCTACAACATGTCTGAACACACGTGTGAGAACAACAGCATTCATCTGCATGCTACAATACACCTGCCAAAGACAGCAAGGAATGAGACTTCAAGAATTTAGCAATCATTCTTGTGTTTCTTAGAGAAAAATGTTACTATAAAGACTGTTTTCCATTAACTTGGAATCCAGGTA